TGGAACATCCACCGTATTCTCCGGACCTAGCACCGTGCGACTTTTTTCTCTTCCCAAAAATCAAGTCTGCGCTGAAAGGGACCAGGTTCGAGTCCGTGGATGCAGTGAAAGCAAAAGCGACGCAACTCTTGAAGAGCATAACACAAGATGACCTGCAGCACTGCTTCCAACAGTGGAAAATTCGCATGGAGCGGTGTAGGGATCGGGGAGGGGACTACATTGAAGGGGATAACATTTCGACTGTCTGATTTTTTTTTAATAAAGGGTTAGAGCATGAATCCGGTTTCTTTATTGCCACACCTTGTAATGGGGGCTTCTACTAGGTCTGTGCCAAGGAGTTAGAAGGAAGACAACTGGGGCAGCCATGTCAGTTCTGTACGTTGCAGTGTTTATAAATATGCTAGATTTCATCTATCAGCCAAAGTAAAGAACTTTCACATAGAATGTTTGAACACAGGATGCCGATAAGAAAATCAGGACCAACAGGAAGATTGAGAAAATTGTATAATGATAGGTTTTGTAATTTGTATTTCTCTCCAAATATTATTGGAGAGATTAAATAAAGGAGGGTGTAATGGGCAGAGAATTTAGTTTATGTAGGAGAAATGAAAAAACTTAGAACATTTTAATTGGTAAACCCTGCCAGCAGTTGGACACCAACCAATCAGTCCAGGGTCAGTTGTTTACCAGAAGAGGTATTCTGATATAGCAACCTGATATTTCTGTTTGTTCCATTTAGCCGAGAATGTGAGCCATGACGACCTGATCTCTACCTACAAGGCATCCTGTGAGAAGCATGGGACTTATCCTATGCCACATGTCCTCAATCAGCTGCAGGTAGGGACACAGATACTGTTCCTTCTTAAAAATAGATGTGAAGTTTCACAGTGAAGGAATATAGTGAAATCTCCTTTACTGATCGGTCACATCAAAGTTTAATTAAAAATCAGCAAATCATTTCAGATGATGATATATTTTATTCGAGATTACCAACTTTGTCCATTGTCTGGTAGTGTAAAAGAACACAACCTTTCAGGAACTGGATCAGTTTCTGTCCTCAGGTGAATGGGTAGTGAGGTGTCTACTTACTCACAATGGCTCAGCAATCACAGTGCCTCGTGGATTCAGTCACAATGCCTTCTGCATTTGGTCACAGTATCTCCTGCGTTCAGACACATCACCTTATGCATTTAGTTCTGTGCCTTGTGGATTCTGTCACTGGCTCCTGCATTCAATCACATTGCCCCTACATTTTGTCACTGCCTTCTGAATTCAGTCACAGTGGCTCCTACATTCAGTCACACTACCCCTGCATTCAGCCACAGTTTCCCCTGAATTGTCGTAGTGTCTCCTGCATTTAGTCACACTGTCCCTACATTGTCACACTGCCCCCTGAATTATTCAGTCACCATGTCTCCTAGATTCAGCCACATTGACTTTTGCAGTCAGTCTCATTGCCTCTACATTCAGTCACTGTCTCCTAAATTCAGTCACATTGTCACCTGCATTTGGTCACAGTGTCTCCTACTTTCAGTCACTGCCCCTCATTCAATCAAGTGTCTCTTGACTTCTGTGGCTCTTACATTGAGTCATATTGTCTTCAAGAATTCAGTCACATTGCCCCTGCATTCAGTTGCAGTGCCTGTTAATTCAGTCACAGTGTCTCCTGCATTCAGTCATGCTGCCTCTGCATTCACTCACACTGCCCCTTAATGTAGACATAGTGTCTGTTGCATTCAGTCATATAGCCCCTCGTGAATTAAGTCTCAGAATGTGACCATACTAGTCTGGTAAGTACTGAGTAGTTATACTCTCCTGTTTGGGATAACATGAAGAAAAGAAAACACTGGAGTTGCTATATAAGCATTCAGTTCTGTAACTTGTTCTACTGAGTGATAGTGTTTATTTATTTTAACAGTTACCTGCAGCCCCCACTGGAAACAGATAAATTTATGTAAATAAATTTACCAGTTTGTGAGACAGTTCCAGAAAAGACATTTCTCTGCTTTTATTTGAATTAAAATCTATAAAGAGTGCTGTTTGTTATTTCTGAAACTTAACACCATTTTTAGTTTTTCAGAAATGTGATTGGTATTTGGTGAAAGGAAATGAACTAGTTATTATGGAACCACTAAAAAATTAATCACTTAGACTTCAGAAAATAGTGAAGACTAGGCTTCTGGAATGTGATATTGAGTCATGTGGTAGATAGGTTCCTGCAAAGCCTTGGTATCTACCAGACCACATGGTATCACATGATAAGGCAACTAATCTCCATAATCACCACTTGAGAATCTCAAATCTTATATGAGAGCAAGCCAATTTATAAGGCCGCGCCATAGCTCAAGTGGTTAGTCGCTGGCTTTCCACCATAGCTGCACGGGTTCGATCCTGGGTCTGGTCAAGTGGGATTTGTGGTGGACAAAGTGGCGATGGGGCAGGTTTTCTCCGAGTACTTCGGTTTCCCCTGCCAATCTTCATTCCACCAATTGCTCCACAATCACCCTGACCTATCATCTGGGGCTGGTACAATAGGCCAGAAGTGGCCGTAGTACAAGGGACTTAGTCCCACCCCACTAGCAATAAAGAAAAGCCAATTTATTATCACACAACTATTTTGGTTCATGTCATTTTTAGCGTGTTTCCACAGAAGACTATCCCCAGCAATTGAATCTGTATTTAATGTGAATTTAATGGAATCAAGTTCAGTAAACGAATTTATTTGTTTAGTTTGTTCTGGTAATGTTTTCATTGAAGATGGAACAAGAAGGTTCCTGCAAAATGTTGGTATTCCTCAAACTACCCAGTGTTGTCAAGTTTTGTTTTCATCAGTAAATTGTTGCATGACTTCATTTTGGGGGCTCGTTTGAGTGAACTACCATGTATGTAAACATTTTTATTTTAAAGAAAATTCAAGAAATTCTTGTTATGAAAAATGATCAGTTGGAAGACCAAGAAATTAGGTGAGAGGACCATATTAAATTGCATCTTAATGTGAATTGGATTGTTAGCTAAGGTTAACCTGAGAGAGATGCTGATTCCGCAGACTCTGGACATGGATGCAGTTCGCAATGAGTGTCTGGACCTTAAGGGTCACACACTGTGTTCCATGCAGTGTGAGACATTAGAAGAAGTGCTCAAGAGGGTGCAATTCAAGAACATCGACCTGGAGGCTACGTCACTTGATGATGAGAGTTCTGTTGCTCTCTTTGATATGGTTGAGTATTATGAATCTGCAGTCCATCTCAACATATCAGGCAACGAGAATATTGGGGTTCGTGGATGGCAGGCTTGCTCCCGAATGATCAAGAAGGTAAGACATATTGAAAGCAGAATAGTGTAATAGTGTGACTTTAGATATAAGAGCAGTTGAACTTAGCTTCTAAGTGAGAATGTTACAAGAGATGCCAACAGTGTGTAAACTGCATGCACTGTGATCTTTCTGAGTGAAAGTAAAGTTATGAAGAGTACTATCTTCTGGGATATAATGCTATGTAGTTCATTGAAAGTCAACCTACGTTTTGAGGAACATATTGTCCCCATCTTCAGGGTCAAGTGAGCCAGCATGAAAACAGATGGCAAGCTGAGTAATTGGCTAGCTGGAAATTTCAGGTTGCATAGGAAGCAGGAGGGAAATGGGAGAGTGAACCTCAGTTCCCATTGGCTCACTGTGGGACAGAATGAAACCACTGGGCTCTCACACAACCACCAAGCAAACAAATAGGAGACAAGAACAGGAGTTTAGGATGGTAGTTTTGCTGGTCTAGGAGAAAAGATGGGAAAAAGTAAGGGAGTGTTGGGCAGGGAACCGATGTGTAAGGGAGAAAGGTCAAGTTGCAGTCAGGCAGAGGTAGCAGAAGGAAGCCAGAACATTAGGTTGGAGTCCAGTGAGTGCCTAGAGATAGCATATTTTGTGCATAGGACATTGTGCACAGACCTACATGGCCCTGTAGAGAACCCAGAACTGCTGCCATGTGATGGAGGCTTCCTGTGATCTTTCATGGAGCAGATGAGAGGTTTCCATGACTTGCTCAGACAGAAGCCATCTTCTCTGTTCATACAGTTGGGGTGAATCTCGATCTCAGGTGTCTCCCTGATGATGCGATCCAAGCACCTGGATATGGCGGTGTGGTATAGCAGGGGGCAATGCCCCAAGTTGATACTGTGCTCTGCCATAGTTGACTTGTCTGGGTGTTCTTAACAGATATGTCACTGGTGCTCCTTCAACCTGGTTTCATGGTAACAACCCATCTGCCCATTGTAGATCTGATCACACCTATAGGCGAGGCTGCATATTCCCAGCATCTTCAGTCAGAGGTTGCCCTTGACTGAACGAAGGAAAGTAGGTAGTTTCCTCAGAGGGAGGCCCACAAACTTGATGTTGTGGCAAGACAGAACCCTGCTGATGCAGTTGAATAGTGACCCAATATAAGGCAGGAAAGCCACTGAATCAGGATTTTTGTTGGGTTGGGCAACCCTCAGGGGGGTTTGAGGGCCCTGTGAATCTGCCAGTTGGTGTAGCCGATCTGCCTGAAAATGTCCCTCATGAACAACAGCAACCACAACCCATGAAGGCTGGCTTGATCATGCAGAGCTCTAGTTCCTTGTACCAGTGTGGGAAGTACAGCATGCTTGTTGGATGGGTGGTGATGAGAGTTAGAGTTTGGGTAGAGGTTGGGATGTCCCACAAGATGGAACAACCTGCGGCTTGTAGTTTACCGGTGCTTTGCATAGACTGCCACATCTGACTAAGGTAGTCTGGTAACACTCCATGGCAAGGCGAAACATTTGCCTTTCAGAATGCTCTTTGAGCTCACAGTATTCTTCTGCATTGCTGGATGGTGCAGTGGCCATGAATGCATGTAGGCTGTTTGCTGTTCATGTCATTACTGTGAAATAGCACAAATTGCTAGTGTTCTGTGCAAATTTGCTGCCGTGGGAGTTAAGTCAGTATCAGGATTGCTGTTAGTCAATGTTAAGCACCATGCCAAGGTGATGTATGGAGGAATGGAGTTATAGCTCCACACATTTCTAACTTTGGTACTAGATGGAGGTGAGTAGTTAGTTTCACACCCTGGCCTCTTTACCTTTGGAATAATATCACCCAGTGCTCCCCTGGATAGGAGGGTAGTTGGGTCCCAGACCCATTTTGGATGCTGTAGTAAAGACAAAAAATAGCTTGCCCTTGTCAAGAATTGAATGCTGATTTCTTGGTTGTTCAGCCCATAGCCTAGTCACTATACTGACTAAATGATCCCAGGGCATTATACAGTAAGACTCAAACTTACATGTGTACATGAATCTGTAGATACACGAATACACAAGTACATTTTTTTTAAACAGTTGGGTATTTCAGTGTCTATGATCATTAGTGCCAGATATGCAAGATTTATATAATACAATATAATATGGTATTTTTATCATACATACATTTTTTAGCTTCAAATATCCATTGGAATGAACATAATATGTCAAAAAAGTAACATAAATGAGCATTCTTGATCTTAAATAGTTTTAAGCTTATACAGAAACCTTTGAAATGACTTAACTGAGCAAGTTGGAAACTTTCTGTGTCTTGTGAAAAGATGAAGGAAGATGAAATCCTCCCTTTTCTTAATTAAGCCCCATACCATGAAGACATATGGGAGAATGAATATATGCATTCTTAGCCTTGCCACTAGATGGAAGTGAGTAGTCAGAGTTAAGCATCTAACCATGAAGATGTATGGTTGACTTGAGGTACAACTCCATGTATTTTTAACCTCAGCTCTAATTGTAGGCGAGTCACTGGTTGGCTTCACACCTCAACCATTTTTAATAACTCCCCCACAGTACCCATCGGACAGAAGGCTAAATTGGCCCAGAGCTAGTCTTGACCCTGTGTAATGTGTATTTTCTGCCAAGTGGTCATTGCTATTACTGTTCCTTGTGATGGTTTTAAATTAAACATGGCAGACAGACATTAATTGCCCAGAATTGTTGTCTGCTGCTGTAGAACAAACATCTTTTATGGCTTTGTTATGCTGCTGCTTTTAATTGCCAAGACCTTGAACAAACAATGGAAACGACAATGTTAGTCAGTCCTCTTGATGAAAGCATAACATGGCTTCATTCAAGTGGAGTTGAATGTTGTCCAGAACTTTGTAGGTACTTGTAACAAACTGGATTTGTACTCAGAGGTGTGAATCTTGGCTAAATTATTGATTTTCCGTACTGGAATATTCATTGGCTTTGCTCAGTTATTTCCGAAGCATGCCATGATAATACCTTGAAGAGCTCATCTCCATCTTAGAAAATTCATGTCATTTTTCCATTTTATTTCACAGTATATTGAGCGAAGTACCTGTTTAATGAAAGAATAAGGGGTGGACCTTGAATGGTCCTTACACCATAACAATCAGAAGTCTATTGTGCATTCCTCTATGTTTCAACCCCTCAACATTTCTACACTTTGAACAGAATGCACAGCTAATCTGAGTCTGAGTCATCTGAGTCATATATTATGACCGATGATCAGTCAACCAGTCTGTTTTGGAATAAAGCACCCATCTGGGGCTTACAACCAGATTTGTATTACTGTCAGCCAGTTGCGAGTTTGTTGATATGGATGCTTTCTCTGTTGAGAGGGCGGGTCTGTTGTTTGCAATTGCTGTTGACTTTCACCAGCGCAGTCATTCTTGGGCCTGAGTCCTACGGGACTTGCAACCATATTTTACTGTCCCAGATTTGAGGCTTCCCTTTTTGTCACCTCCTACAACTCGCAGGGCAACAGTGGAGGTATTCGACACAGCCTCCACACGTGACTCCCTTTTATAACTTCAGGACGAACCGAATATACGTCATTACATCTAACAGATCTTCTATTCTTCCATGTTTATCTGTTGCTGCGGAAGTGTGTGTTAATGCCGTAGCAACGGTCTGGTTTTCCCACAAGCCTATCCACAAGCCATTGTCCAGCAGTGGACTTTTCCAACTTTCAGGCGTCATGTCACAATACATTATTCATATTGGACTTCAGTTGGGACCAGAACATTATTTACCAAATGGGATTTCAGTGCAGCATCTGCATTTGAAAGAGCTCCATTAAATCGCCTAAGAATCAGTCAGTCAATCAGTGCAGTTAGTGAATCACTCAGTTTGGAAAGTAGCAGTTTGTCATTATACCTATAGTTGTTTTATATAATTGTATAATTTTTTGAAGTGTGTTAGTGTTATCTATGCTGAAAACCTGGCTCTTCCGCTCTTACTTAATTCTCATGGAGTTTATGTTTCAGTTAATAAAAGGTGTGTGTGAGAGAAGTTCTGTGTTGAGAGTTTTGCATCATGATGACAGGTTCCTCCAAAACATTGGCACTGTTCTCCCAGGTTATGCAGCATCACCTCCCAGAATACTGTACTCTTAACATTCACCACCTAAGGTCACAATCATATGTTGGTACCTAGCTAACAAACTACCTATCATGACATCCCAGAAACCTTAATCTTAATATTATGACATGACGCCTAGAAGTGGAACCAGAGCTTAAGTTCATTGCTAGCCAATGGCTCACTAACACGTTTCCATGGCAAGGGAATAAGAGAATAATAGAGGAACTGTAAGACATTGCAATCTGTATTTGGTTCGCCTGGAAGGGTTTTATTTTCCTAGTGGGGTGGGACTAGGTCCCTTGTACTGTGGCCACTTCTGGCCTATTGTACCAGCCCCAGATGATAGGTGAGGGTGAGTGTGGAGCAGGGAAAACTGAAGTACTCGGAGAAAACCTGCCGCAGCGCCACTTTGTCCACCACAAATCCCACTTGACCAGACCCGGGATCAAACCCGGGCCACCACAGTGGGAAGCCAGCCAGGGACTAACCGCTTGAGCTATGGTGTGGCCCCTCACCTGGAAATTAGTTCAGTCCAAGAGTGAGCCGTGAGAAGTGATTCAGATGCATTTGTAAGGGTGTTTAGTGATTCAGTAGTAAGAGTATTCATGAGAAGCCGAGTGTTCAGCTGTGGAGTGTTAACCAGTGGACAACGGAATCTCAATAAGTGATCGATTCTTAAATTAGAACCAAGTCAGTCACAGTGGAAGAAAAGACACTCATAGTCTAGTAAGGAATGGAGCAAGTCTCAGCCATTGATTGTGAGCTGTTATAATTGGTTGTATTTGTAAATAAGTGCCAATAAATCCTATCCAGAACCCATTTTGTTTGTCACGCAAACCGCTCATATGTGGTATTCACCGTACTGAGAATGTCAGATCTCAGGATGTGCCATAAGTACAGGAAGTAGGGGCTTGTGCAGCACTGGTGCCTGTCTGTCTAACAACACAGTGTCATATCTATAGTGAGAACATCATGTCTTATATTGTCCTCCCCCCTCCTTTTTATCATTTTCAGACTCGCTGTTTGGAGCACCTGGAAGCACGTAATGTTACACTCAATGAGCAATACATGCCAATTTTAAGTCGTGCACTACGGATCAGCACACAGCTTCAAGTACTGAAACTGGAAAACTGTAATCTTAGTGGTCGTCCCATCATCATACTGGGTGAGTTGTCCCACTGTGGGTCAAACGGGTAAACACTCACGCTGTGTTGTTAGGAGATCATGATTTCACAGACTGGCCCAGATACCAGGTATCCTGGTTGAGTGTATCATGGTTTATCTCAACCTCTCCAGAGAAATGCCTGGATAGTACCTCAAATTACACTTGTAATTACCGAGTGTTTGAATATTGTTCATCATCTACTGTCTCAAACATGAACATAACCAGCTGGTTCAGTTGGTAATGCTTTTGACTTGTAGTTGAGAGGCACCAGTTCAGATTTACGCTGGGACACTGACTATCCTGATTGAGGTCTTCGTGGTTTTGCTCAGGCCCACCAGGCAAATGCCAAGATAATACCTTAAATGAAGTCATGCCAACTTCCTTTCGCATCCCTTCTAATTTATTATTCATTAATCATGTCATTTGCCACTGTATAGTCTGAGCTACTGACAGCATCATTAAATAAACTGCAAATAAAGAAATGGCTGTTCTGAATGTTATTTGCGTTTTTGCTGTTATATTTAATGTTGACAGCTGGATGATGTTTAAAATGTGTTGGCAGCGGCAGCGCTGAAGTTGAACACAGGTTTAAAGGAGTTGTACCTAGCAGACAACGACTTGGGAGTGACGGATGCCATTCAGCTTGGTGGGCTCCTGCGTAGCAACTTCACACTACAACTGCTCGATATCAGGTCAGTCCAGCACCTTCTGTCACTTCTTTTTGCTCAGGCTCTGAGAGGCTGGTTAAAAGTGTACACAGTAATGTTTATAAGTGAATCATCAAAATCAACAGAGGAGCTCTCCATGTTCAGTTTTCTTGCTGTATTTTCCCAGTGAAAATTTTATATGGCCCTGCTTAATTCTTTTCACATTCTGACAGGAATTTTCCGTCTCATGCAAATTCCAGGAAACTATGCAACAGAACACAATTTCAGCGAAATGCTTTTCCATCAGTAGGTAGATACCAACATTTCAGTAGAGCCTGTTGATTGCAGATGAAGTCAGGTTCCTGTTAACACTGTTATGTCACTTCCACATTTCATAGTATCACATCCCGGAAGATATCAGTCTGTATGCTCACTTCCATGAAACCTCAAATCTTACATAGTAGTATCCAACAGATTATTTTTTTGGGGGGGGGGGGGAATCCCCCATCACTTTTTGCTATATAATAAGCTTAATCTTCTTTACATCTTCCCCACCATTCTCTTTCTTAGGCTATTAATGTCCCTCTTCCATCTTCTTTGTGCCTTCTCTTATCGTCTTTTTCATTTTTTCCTCTTCCATCTTTCTCTTCTTACCCTCCTTTTAACCTTTGCCTCCACCAATATAATTTCATTTTTAATGTACTACTAACATGCCAGGATAGCTTAATTGGTATAGTGATGGCCTGTTGACTGAATGGGTGGGGTTCAATTCCAAGCAGGGACAAGAGATTTTTTTCTTATCCACAGCATCCAGGCTAGCTTTCAGGCTCACCCAGCCTCCTATCCAGTGGGCACTGTCAGCTCTTTTTCAGGGGCTAAAGTGGCCGGCGTGTGAATTTGATGGCTCACTTTCATCTAGTGTCAAGGTCAAGAATGATACAGGTATATCTTCATGGTGTGGTATGTAATTAATTAACCACAGGGGCAAATTTACCTTTTCCTACTTACTACTACTACTAGTACCACCACCACTACTACCGCTGCTGCTGCTACTGCTATTACCACCACTACTGTGGCTGCTGCTGCTGCTACTACTACTACTACTACTTCCCCCTTCTCCATTCCCTCTGTCCCTTCGCCTTATTCCTCTTAGGCTGCTCTTCATCCACCATTTCCTTCTCTCCTCTCCATCAGTGACATAACATGAGGAACTGTGTGCTCAGTGCCTGAAAGGGATACACATTAAACTGCTTCTGTGTGTTACAATTTTTACATTCGTTTTGAAACTGCCATTTGTTCCTGGTGCCAGAGATACAGGTTTATATATTGTATATATTGAAGTGCATCAGCTTCAGTGTCGTGGAACTGTATGATTACATTTTCTGTCCACATTTAAAATACTTTTATTACATCATAAAACTCCACTAGAAGCAACAAACTTAGTTTTAGTTAAATAGAAATGCTCCAAACATGATAGCAAAGAACTACAACCCATAAACATTCTGGCAGACTGATATATGCATGCTCTTTTATTTCAGTAATAACAACATTCAAGACACAGGATTGGGCCACATATCTGATGGACTGACAGACCAAACACCAGAACAATCGGGCAATGGACTTAGCATCCTTGTGCTCTGGAACAATCATCTTACCCGCAACGCGTCAAAACATTTCGCCCGTGCCGTGGTTCGTATAAATAAATCCATTTAAATAGTAGTGGCTTGTGGTGAAACCTGTGGAGTTAAGAGATGTTTTGTTGAACTTTTTGGATGGTATTTCCAGCATTGTGACATGCATATCCCTATGGTTAGCTAAGACAGTGCTGTGGCATTATGGGCTTTATCTGCTGTGATTGAAAGTTTAAATCTATGGTGTAACTTTGTAAGTTTCATGTGATTTTGACACTTTTATTTTTCACAACATCAGGATGACGTTAACTTTCAGATGAGTGGTCATGCAGATTCTGATGTGCTTCCATTTATTCGCAATTTTAGTTACCAGAAAATACTTAAATGATTATATATAAATATTATGAGACTGTATGGGGTGCTATTGGGAAGTTCCCGGACTAGGTCAAAAACGAAATGCTGGCTTAACTTACTCAATTTTGGCTGTCATCTGCTTCAAAATAGTTTCTTTTGGGAGTGTATACAATGATCCCATCATTTTCCATGCTTCAAAAGCACCATGGCAGTCATTTTTCTTACTGCTGTCAAGTATCGCTTGGAATTCCCTTTGGGTGTCAGACACTGTTTCAAAATGTCGTTCCTTCAGTTTCATTTTCAATTTGGGAAAAAAACGAAATCACAAGGTGCTAAGTCAGGTGAATAGGGAGGAAGGGGAACAATAACCCTGTTGTTGTTAGTCACAAACTCTGTGGTTTTCAGGGATGTATGGGCAGGCTGGACTGTGTGGACTAGGTCTATTGATTGGGCCCAACTGAGTAGGTTTTACCTGAAGACGGAGACAGAATCCAGTCTCCGAAATGTTGTGTTTTGAAAAATACACAGGACAGTTTTTAGATAATAGCAAGATGATGGATGATGTCCAAAAACATAATATTTGTACTGTGGTTTATTTGATAATGCTGTTAGTAGCTAGACTCCGTGGTTAGGTGGTAGATGAATGATGAATTGGAAGGGATTTGGATAGAAGTAGTTATGGTCTAATTGAGGTTCTGTGCCAACATTTGCCTGAAGGAACTGAGGAAGATCGTGATGATTGTGATGATGGTGACAGTGTTGGCAGTGACAACAGTGATTGATCGTCGTTATCATTGTAACTATGTGATATGGTTGGATCCTGTCACTTTATTCTGGCCCTAAATCTGGGTCAACCAACTGTTTATTGGCCCTCTAAAACTTCTCTGACCTGCAAATATGATAATCTTTTTTGTTGATTATTCTCTTGGGTCTTTGCACTGTGTGGATGTATGCTTCTGATTGCTTTGGAGGTACATACTGCTTCCACCACGAATGCCTGAAATCGTGACGGTAATTTTACACAGATAGGTTATCAACTTGTCATAAAGTCACTGACTTGGAGGACCATGGACTTCAATATCATAATGTCCCTCTCACATAGAAGCTGTCTGAAGTTGAGGCTCCCACATTTTCTAGACTGTCAGCTCACAGATGGTGGTAAGGTTGTCAGCCATACGCGCCGACCATCCTTTGTCCCCCAAGGAAGAGCCCTAGTTCTCATTTCTATTAGAGGCTTAGTTGACTCCAGGGCCAGAGCATGCCTGGAAGGATTAGGTAAATTGATGAAAATCCAATGACATCAGGAATTGAACCTGCAGCCTTCCAGCTTGTAACATAGTGCCTCAACCAACTATGCTACTGTATGCCCTTCATCATACATTATGTATGTGACCTTATGGAAGGAACGTTCTGTGTTCAGTGAGAACTCTGATGTAGCAGTTTTAGTTCCCGTTGTGTGTTAAACAGAATCTGGTAACTTCCTAATATTGATGGAAAGATCCATCACATTATATTCTGATAACACACCCTCAGAAATGTTTAGACATGATATATGATGTGTGAAATAATTTATTGAATGGGTCATTTATTTGATTCTGTGTCACACTGTTTGTCCTGGTATATCTGGTAAGTGTGATTTCCATGTTCACATGCAGGCACGCAGCAAAACGCTTGAGACACTCAATATTGGGCAGAACAAGCTGACAAATGAATGTCTACTTGTTATGAAGAACTCGCTACAGCAGAACCGAACTCTGCTACAACTTGGCATGCAGTCGACACATCTGTCTTGCGAGGGGGCCATTGCTTTGGCAGAGTGCATTGAAGATAATCCTGTCATACAGGTATGTGAAGCATGAATCAGAATATCAGTCTGTTTGAACGAAAGGTTGTAAGGTAGTTATATGAAACACCGAACACACTTTTCTATAGATATAAGTTTTTGTGACATTTTGAGCTGTATTTCATTTCAAGCAGTCCTTTGTTTAAAACTGTAAGCAAACAATTCTTAAGTCATTGGGTCATGCATGTATACATAATAGAGTCTTGCAAATGAAACACTTCGTTGTACATTCACATTAGCCACTACAGCCTATAGGACAAACGTCCAAGAAATATACACATCACTCCCAACAACAGTACATAGCAACAAAGGGGAATATGGGGAGGGGAGGGGAAGAAGAATGCATAATACATCACATTTAAATTAAATTATTTTAACAAGGATCTGACTTGGTTTCCTAATAACTTTTCAGATTTTCACATCTTAGTGCAGTGACGTGTTACAATACAGCGTAGCAATTTTAATGAAACATATAAACCTGAAAATTGCCCAATATGACCGAAACTTGTTGTAATATGTGTGAAACATAAACTAAGTGGTGTTTAATCAGTTGTCAATAAGGTATTCGTTTAGAAGATTATTACATATGTGTGTCCTCAAATACGGTGTTAATTGTTATTCCTGAAGTGCATCATTTAGAAAATAGAATCTTAATGCAGTAATTTCAGATTGGTTGTTATGCCATTTTGTTCTTGTGTAAGATAGAACTTTGTCTGAAATATCATTGAGGGTATGTCATATAGTGGATGAACAGCCTTATGCAAGGAGAGTCCTTTGTGTTTAGAGATTTCTGGCATGGATGTTTTGTTTCCCTATATTACAAATAGAATCTAGTGAATTTCTAATGATGATATGATCTGTATCACTATCTAGGGTTCCGTCTTCTGAGATAGAGTGCTGTGTAGTCTGTACAAGGTCAGTTGATGTTTCGGAGGTTACATTTTCTCCGAAGGGACTACATGGCATTGTATCCCAGAAGACAGAATTCTTCATAACTACTGCTGAGAGAACCCCAGATCCTACATACATCATTATCTTATGGTGACACAATAACATATATGATTTGGACACACATGTTCTTTACCATGATAAAGCAACAGCTGATTAAATGATTCAGATGTAATATTGACACATAGCCCTGTAGATCAATAATTTTAGTGTTTATGACAATTATATTTGTTTAAATTGTTACTTAAATTTTAAAATAATGTCAAAAGTTTTGAATAAGTAATGTTTACATTTTTGTGCATGAGACATAACCCGGTTTTCTTTTGTGATTCTATCATTATGTAAACTTCAGTGCCTTATGAGAAAATCTTAGATAGCTCAGTTGGTATAGTAATGGGCTATGGGCTGGATGGCCAGGGTTTGATTCCTGGCAGGGTTAAGATTTTTATCATCTCCATAGCATTCAGACTGACTATGACCCACCAAGCCTCCTATCCAATGGGTACCAGGGACAGTTTCTCCAGGGTAAAGCTGTCAGGGCATGAAGCTGACCATTCACCTCCATCTAGTGCCTAGGTCAAGAATGGTGGAACTATACTTCCATGCCCAATACATCTTTATGGAATGGTATTTAATTATTTAAGCTCACAGACAGCTTTACCTCAGTAGCTTACATGATATGAACAGCCTGTAAGGATGAAATGCAATAATTCAGAATGTCAGTTCAGCTGATGTGAACAGCTGCTGCATTGTATTGTGACGATAAAGAATATATATGTTATTTCATTAATCATAGTTAATGTCAGTGATTTTGAAGTGTGGCCACAGTTATTTTTATGAGTATTGAAACATATCAGATGCAGTATTAGAAAGTTTGTTTTCTGAAAAAAAAAACTGTCTTAAATTATTTTATGTGTCTAATAACAGTTGTGGGTCCTCATATATTTTGAATATCACATCAAAATCTTATCTAGAACTGAATGTACCATAGCAATTTCCAATTGTTTGTAAATGCAGATATAGCAGTATTTTTGTTTGTAAATTTGGCCACAGCAAAGTTTTTGTTCATGCATGTAGCCATAACAGTTTCTATATTTTTTAAGAGTTTTGTTTTGTGATATATAACACTGTGTAGTCTGTTGAATGTCAACAGATGTTTTCGTATGAACATGTTCCCTCCATCTTCAGAGTCAGAGAACAAGCCAAGCAAGAAACCAGCATGAAGAAGGTAGCAAGCAGAGCAGTTTACATGCGAAACAGAAGGGAACTACAGAGTGCCCATTGGTGAACAGGTTGCTTTGATTGCGACCTGCTTCATCTTCATCCTTGCTTGGTTTACTGTTCAGCTCTAAAAATGGCAGTAATGTGTTCATCCAAAACTTTCAGTAGACTACACCATGTTACACCTGTCTTCACAACCACAACTGTGAGAGACTCAAATCCTGCATTTTTTGTTTTCTGTATGTAAATGTGGTTGTTATGAATTATTTTGTTGGTAAATGTATCTGCATTTAATCTGTTTCTTCATAAATGTGTCCACAAGAAATGTATATTTTTTTTCTTTTTCCATAAATTTGCCTGCAGCAAATTTGTTTCTACATAAGTATGTTCACGGCAAATCTGTTTCTTCATAAATATGTATGCAGAAAATATATTTCCACATAAATATGTCCATGTTTATAAATGTGGTTGTAGTGATTATTTTGTTGATAAATATGTCTGCTGTAGATTTGTTTCTTCATAAATACATACTCAGCAAGTTTATTTCTTCATAAATGTGTTCATATGTATAAATATGGTTGTAGTAAGTTCCTTTGTTAGTAAGTGTGTCTGCAGAAAATTTATTTTTTCATGAATATGTCCACAGCAGATGTTAGCTTGACAAGTTCTGCACTGTGCCATATGCATAGTTTACAAACTGTCAAGGTGCAAAATGTTTGAACATTTTTTAGTTATTTTCATTTTTTTCTTTTTGTACATCTGTTGGTATTTCACATCTTTGCAATGAATCAGTTTTCTCTGGCTTATGTTCTGAGCATATAATGGACTTCATCAAAGAAAATTAATTTTAGTTGTTTATTAGGGAATATGGAGTAGGGATAGCTCAGTCAGTAAGGTTAGAGTGAATTTTAATACTGGCAGAAACAGGATTTTTCTTCCCACTGCCATGTTTACCATAATTCTGGGATTCGCAGTTTCCTATCCCAAGGCATTTTATACTTAGTGACTTCCACAAAAAATCTGTTCGTTGGCAGGTAAATGTGCAATACAATAAATGAATGTCACAAGTGAGTGGATAGCACTCCAACTTCATATTTTGGTGGTCCAGAGTTCAAATCTTGACCTGACTAAAGTTTCTCTTGGATTTCCTTCTGTCTCCGGGCATATGTTGGGGCAGTTCCTCAGATGAGGCCACAATCACTCTTCCATACTCCATACAGTCATCTTACCATTTATCACCGTCATCTTCACTGCTGAACATGTTGTTAAGAAAAACATGAGTAAATAAGTAAATAAATAAACCTGACGAAAGTTCATGTAACAAGTGTTGGGGATGGAGAGTATGATCTTGTGTTGTCTGATGAGCTGGGGCAACGTCAGTGTCTTGGGATACAACTTTGGACTCTGATTCAGAGAGTTCTGAGATCAGTTCCTGGTCAGATCTGTGTGCAGATTTTTCTGCTTACTAGTTTATACCTTCATTTTTACCAAAGATAAAACTTCTTACTGTTGAATTTAAATGATTCCAAGTCAGTAATCTTGAGATTAGAGTTTCCTCAGTGTTCCTGTCCACTGCTTCCAAAAAACCTTAAATATAGGTTTTACTGTATAAATATACTGCGTGCTGTCGGAAAGTTCTGAGACTCGTGTTGTTGTAAGTGCCTCGGTGAAAGAAGATGAGAGGGGAGGCCAAGGTGACGGTTCCACAAGTCTGTTGCATCAGTCTGCCACGTGACACTGAGCTGTGAACACGCATTGTTTTACATGAGTGCTTTTTTGACTTTGGGTTTCTTTTTGTCTTCAATGGATGGCAAACTCGAGCAACGTATCTGCATCAAGTTTTGCATGAAGCTCGGTAAATCCACTAGCAAATGCCTTGAAATGCCTCATAAGGCTTTCAGAGAACATTTTTTAAGCCCGATAGCAGTTTTGAATGGCATTCACATTTCAAGGCTGGTTGAGTGTCAATTGAAGATGATGAATGTTGAGGGTTACCAAGCACCAGTAAAACAACAGAAAATATTGCAGAAATTCAAGAACTCGCCCACAAATACCATCACCAAACGATCCATGAGCTCGCAGGCACCATTGGGATCAGTGATGGAGTTTGCCAGGATATCTTAAGAGAAAACTTGAACGTGTGCTGCACTGCTGTGATGTTTGTTCCCACACTCTTGACAAGAGATCAAAAGCAGCGGCTTGTGAACATGTGTCTCGAGCTACAAGAGAAGTCTAATGAGGACCCAACTTTTACGAGTATCTCTAGGATTTTTTTAAAATGCTAATGAGGTGGGACTGAGTCCCTTGTACTGTGGCCACTTCTGACCTATTTTACCAGCCCCAGATGATAGGCGAGGGTGATTGTGGAGCAATTGGTGGAATGAAGATTGGCAGGGGAAACCGAAGTACTCGGAGAAAACGTTCCCCAGCACCACTTTGTCCACCACAAATCCCACTTTACCAGACCTGGGATCGAACCGAGGCCACCGCGGTGGGAAGTCAGCCACTAAGCACTTGAGCTATGGCGCAGCCACTCTCTAGGATCATAACAGGTGACAAAATTTGGACTTATGGTCATGATCCAGAAACGAAACAACAGTCGTCGCAGCGAAAGAACCCACAATCACCAAGAGCAAAAAAGGCATGGCAGGCCCGGAGTTCAACAGAGAGCATGCTTGTTGTTTTTTTGATGTGAAGGGGATTGTTCACTGTGAATTTCTTTCTCTTACACTAAGGTCAACTGACATTTTGAGACGCTTGAGAGAAAATGTGCTACGAGAAACACGGGAACTTTGACGAAGCCACAACTGGTTCCTCATCATGACAACGCACCTGCTCACACATCCCTGAAAACATCAGAGTTTGGGACTAAGAACAGCATGGTTATCATTACCCATCCTAACCACTAGCTGGGCTTAGCTCCCTGTGATTTCACTTTTTCCAAAATTGAAAATGAAACTGAAGGGATGGTGTTTTGAAACATTGTCTGACATCCAAAGGGAATCAAAAGTGGTACTCGACAGCGTTAAGGAAAATTACTTCCACAGTGCTTTTGAAGCATGGAAAAAACAATGAGATCAGTGTATGTATTCCCAAGGATAGTATTTTGAAGGAGATGGCAGCCAAAATTGAGCAGGTTAATCCAGCATTTCTTTTTTGACCTAATTGGGGAACTTTCTGATAACACCTCATATAGCTCTTCTAGTTGAAACAGCATCTTTAATCTTTTGGCTACCAAGCCTTGCTGTAGAACTACCTGCTAGAAATACCAAAAGCTGCTTGAGGGTAAGTGCAGTTGCAAAGAAAATTCCAGTTTTTCCTCACATTTCCTTCAAACAACAGCAGGTATATATCATGCGAAGGCCTCTTCTTTCCTGTAAACATTGGTATGTCATGCTTGATGCTATCTACTGACAGAAATTATAGTGATCAACATTGAACTGATCTTTAGACTTTGACGGCTTTGACACAAATACCCCACACCGATCTGATTGGCTTCTGTAATGCAAAAGGTGAAATAGCCAAACAATCCATCAGCCCAGAGAACTGATGCATCTCAATCCCAATTACTATATATATATATAATATTTTTATTTGGATCAAGATATTTATATCAGTCTGTAGAAGTTAAAAAGTGCTTCAATATTACACTTTTTTTAGTGGCGTGTATCATATTGTTTCCTGTCATGGGCTGAACCAAGTCCTATTTTGAGGCAGATTGAACTCCCTCTTTCATCTGTTCTTTTGGGCATCCTTTGTTATATCATCCTGCTGGATCATATTAATAAGCCCACCATGATAAGTATTCTGGGAGCATCATTTCCATGTTCCCCTTTCAGTTTCTTTGGTACTGTGCAGTTTCTTCTTCCATATTTTCTGTTTCTAGTTGTTCTTTTATATCCTAATTTTACATTTTCGTTGCCATGCCTTCAGCTGGGCCACCAATTTTTCCATCAAGACTGGGTTTTAATTGCACCACATTCAAAAACAGAGCAGGTTGCTGTAGTGTAGTGATGTGGACTTGAATGTCAGGAGATGCTGATACCAGCTACCCTGGCCGGAGTTGTTCAAGGCTTTCTTTCAGTCCCTCCAGACACTTTCCTGGATAGTCCATCTGTCAGGCCATGACAACTTCAACATCCTTTCCAATTCCATGATTCATCCTACCACTTGACACTATGCAGTCTGAGGTCCTGACACCATTGTAAAATAAACAACAGCAACTACATTCATAGGAGAAAATGGAAGAAGACAAGGGGAAAAGAAATGTATATTTCTGTTTTATTGTTATCTTGGTCTTTTTGTACCGAAGTTTCACTGCCATATATCAGCGCTGGTCTTGATAGCATATTGTCAATCCATAATTGTGTTTTGCTTCTCATATTCTTATCAAAGTACGTTTTAACATCTCCATTTAGTTTAAATGGGCATCTCTGTTCTGAAGAATTTCTTCCAACTGCTATTTTATGCTTGCTCCTAAGTTTAAACTTTTTTTAGTGTTATGGAATATTTTTTATCTGTTTAGAATCCAGCCCACAACATGTTTTATAATATTTTTTTTGGGTATAGATATTTTTCTGCTTGTCTTTGTAAATTTAAAAGTGTTTAAATATTATAGAATGTTTTTATCTGTTTGAGAAGCCCTACTTTCTGCAATACCAAGTCATCATCGAAGCAACCTACACTCCACTTTTGGAAGACCAAAGAAGTATGGTTTGAATTTCGGTAAATACGATATTGCTTATGAAATTGACCAAGTGAAAAACTGTCATTCTTGTCAGGGATTGAACCAGCAGCCTCCCATTCACAGGTAGGTTGTAGGATAACATAGCCAACTTGAATGACATTGTTTCACTTGGCTGTGTATTGACTTCACATCAAAGACTGAAAATGATTTTTATGTGTATAACCATAACAAATATGGTTTGGTTCCAGAGGATAGACTTACGAGACAACTCTCTGAAAGTGGCTGGTCTGATGGCACTTGCTCTCTCCATGAAGGTGAACACAAGTGTTACTCAACTTGACTTAGATGACATACCAAAGAAGAAAATGGTAAGTATTTCAGTCATTCATCTAAGATCTCTGTCAAACAGCACGGCCTGATTATGATCTCCATAACCCATTGTATACTATTGGCTTCCTTCTCGCATCAGGCCTGTTTTATATATGAGCCAGTGGACAAGAAGTCTCCAGGCTATTCTTACTTCCCACAGTCTTTCCTTTTCTGTTTGTTGCCAGCTCTTCAATCTTTTTGATGTCTTCTATTACCTGCCTGATCCATCTTGTTCTGCGTTTTCCCATTAATGTCTGTCCTGTAAACTTTAATTGTAGTCCCCTTCTCATTGTTCTTGTTGTATCCATTACGTTTTACATGGCCATACTGTAGTAATCATTTTTCCCCTCAGTCAGTCTCACATCAAAGAAGACCACGGTCTGAACAATCACTGCTATGAAAACCATAAAACTTACAATACTGTGTAGTTTAGTTTAGCATCACTTACCGAATCACATGTATGCAGTTTCCTCGTTGATAGCTGCTGACCACAGTGAACTTGCTGCTATGTCCAGGAAGATGCAGACGCATTAGACCAGTATGTCACATTGGTGACTGAGATCAGAGGGTATTGTGCCCGCAATGAGACAGCAGCACGTGAGGAGGAAGACATAGTTGAAGAAGGCCCTACCACTGGAGCATCAGGCAGGGGACGATTGACCAACAGTACATCACGCAAGATCTCTTTAACATGTGAGACTTTACTCCGTACTACTGCCATGCCTCCGCAACCAATTGTACCAGACAGCGGCCTATTGGCAGAGCCACGACGGGGTAGTAGCGGCCGACTGCGCAGTCCTGCACCCAGCCCTATCCCCAGCCCCATATCAAGCCCCATACCGAGCCCATCACGAACACGTTTTCAGGTTAGTACTCACTCACAGCTTGACCCCTTTGTATGTGTATATCAGTTCACATAACTCTGAAATTGTATGTTACATCTGTATTGTGGTAGATGGTTACTAACATTTCAGTGTCACATCCAAGGAGACCACAGTTTTAACATACAGGGGGTGAACAAAATAATATTAAAGTAGAAACTCTAAGAAACTGAAGAATAGAATTTGTCTTAGCTGTACTGAAAGAACTTCAGTTGGCAACACTGAGTGTTGTTCCATTTGTTTACATTTTGTAATGCTCATGTCAGTGCATTAATGATTGTGTTGAATAAGAGTTTATGTGAAAGAATAGGAAAATGGGAGACTTGTCTGATTTTGAAAAAATATAGACGTATAAAACAAGAATAAAACAATAAATTCTTGTTTTATACTATAACTTTTGTTTTATATAATCTAATTTGATGTATTTTAATATAATTAATATTGTAACGTGTTGGGTTACTGGAGACGCCGTAGAGATCATTAATTGGTTTATTCAGCAACCTACAAGTAACGGCTACAATTAATTATAACAATGTTGGGGGGTTTTACACTTTATAACCCTATTTGCAATAATGAATTCACGCTATTGTTGGTAGACTACACGTTTCACACACACACACGTCCGGTTCTTCTTTCCGCGACGGCTGCTATATTCCAACTCAACTCGCAGGCTGCTGACTGGAGAACTGTTGATAACACACTTGCTCACCTACTACTTAACTCAGCGACTGCTACGTTACAACTCGCTCGTAGCTGCTGTGCAGTTCCCTTATATAGCCGCAGTGGTGCCTGTTGCATGCCACGTCACAGTAGGAAGCGGTGCCTCGTCACCGTGTTTGCGTATAGCCTAGCAACGCTGTTACCTCACGCCGTCTTATGTCACCGCGCGTTGCGCGTTACGTCACCACGGAGGGGGGGAGTGAGTGCCGACTCATCCGCCACGTCACTGTGGTCTGAGTTGCCACGTTGCTGCTGGGTAGGGAGGGGTTCTGCGTTGCGCAACATGTCACAATATTATTGTATCCAATTTTATTAGTACTGCAGTTCAGTGGTGTACATATGTTAGCCATGTATTTGCGTGATGATGGCTTCTAATAGCCGAAACTTGTAGCAGAGCCAATCTAGGCACTGACCTTAATATAGTTGTGTTGTGACGGATTTAATAAAGGCATTGTATATTATAACAACAGGATGCATGAAATGAAAATTAGAAAAGTATCTGTGGTGTTTCCATTATTTTGTCAAACTCTTGTATTTGCTGCCATGCCCCCCATACTGAGATTTTACCATGAGGCCCAATAGCTGGATTTTAAACGTCATTCAAAACAGAAATGAAAGCAAACAGGTGAAAACAATGAAAAATCACTGTATTAAGAGTAATGTCTACTGAAATGTTATTCCATATAATTTGATAATAGTTCATTGACATTTCAGAGAACATGTTGCCTTCATCCTCAGGGTTGAAGGGTGAACCCAGGAAGCAGAATGATGATGTATTGTAATTCTTCAGTGAGACAGAAGACCTAAAACCAAGGCTAACTAAAAAATTAAAATTACAATTTAATGATGATCTTAATACCAAATTTAATTTAAATCCACATATTCATTTCCTCTAGAGATGAATCAAATTGACACAGTCTGCAATAAATTGTAATAAAATTCATTATTCAGTGCTATGTAGTCTTGCGTTACTTCCAGAGCTGTACCGAACTATTAGGCTTATTTTGGACTCTGCCCATCGTCAGAATCCTTTCAAGTCTATATAGTTTCTATGCATCAATTAGAAAATTGGTTCGCGGTAAATCATCTTATTATTAATATTGAAAAGACAAAAGCACTCTTTTTTCAGGGACGTGGTCCCCGTCAAATTGATAAACCGGAACTTTATTTGAATAATAAGAAAATAACATACACAGCTAATTTAAAATTTTTAGGTATATATATTACAGAGAATTTAAGTTGGTCCTCTCACATTCACCATTTAGTTCAAAAATTAAACAAAACCATCTATCTTATCAAATCCTTACGAGATTTGGTCAGTCTTCCAATTTTGAGAAGTGTGTATTTTGCGAAATTTGAATCTTTATTGAGATATG